CCAAAAGAAATATTTGTCTCTTCTAGTTGTTTTTCCTCTTCTTTTGATACCTTTTGTTCTGGTCACCATGTTCTCCCCTACGGTGATGAAAACTATCAATAATATCTTGAAGATTCCCAAATTCATTTCTTTAATATTTATTTTATGTATGCATATAAACGTTCGGGTGTAAGCCACAGGTGCAGGTGATGAGAGGATTCACCAGAGACAGAGTGGGGAACAGAACAGGCAGACTGACTGAAATACTCTGCTGAGGGGAGCAGTGGGGAGACAGGAGTTATCTGCTGTGCCTTGTGGATAGCTCCCTGGTTGGGGATCAAATTTGTGCTGCAGCAGCTGCCGATAGCTTCATAGTGCTGAGACTTAAACCTTGTGTCACCAGGGAGGCCCTGATTCCCAAATTTCTGTTTTCATAGACTTCCTGATCTATCAGACACATGTCCAGTTGTGTGTGGAATTCCAGTGTCTACCAGCCCATATTAGGAAAACATTCCTCGTACCTCAGCCACCAAGTTATTACCGAGTTCTCCTCCCCTTTGTCCTTCCATTTTAGAAGAGATGACCTGTTCTGTCGTCTTCTGACTCGTCAGCTGAACATCTTTTCTTAAAATTTTATTTTATATATATTTTACATCATTTTTTATTTCTGCACAAGGTATGCATTTTCATCTTGGTTATAGTCCCCATACATCCCACCCCCTTATTTTGACCCTAATCCCTCCACCCCCCATAGTGCATCTCTGGTTTATACTTGCTTGTAGTTGAACATCTCTTACCTGTGATTTTTGCCACCTCATTGCTTGAACATTCTGGTTTCGGGTTCACTTTTTGTTTACTGTGAGTTGGAGATACCAGGCTTTGAGGTCACAGGAGTAAAATATTGACACAAAGTTGCACATGCTTTTATTTGTTATGAAGCTCATTTAGCACATGATTCCGGGTGTGTCTGTTACACCTGCCAGCCAGGCTATCGGCTCCTCAAGGAACAAATTTTTTTCATCTTTTTATTCTTAGAATCATAGACACTTCCAAATATTAAGGTAAGCTATAGTTCTAGTTGTAGGACCAAATGGGTGAATGTAGAGGTGAGGCTCTTTCAACTACGAATTCTATACAGGACCGAAGACCCACAAAATAAGATGTGTTTGAACTTGCTCTGTCTGACCCAGGCTGCCGGCCCTGAGATGAGAAATGTTCTCTCAGAAGGGACGGTGTCATTTGAAGATGTGGCTGTGAACTTCATGTGGCAGGAGTGGCGGTACCTGAGTGAAGCTCAGAGGACCCTGTACTGGGATGTGATGCTGGATACCTGCAATCACCTGGTGTCCCTAGGTGAGGAAGCTCCAGTGTAACACTCTAGTGCAATGCTGTCTTCTGCACCGATAAGTGTGCACTTGCTTATGAAACTGAGTGTTGTGTGAGGTTGAACATGGCAGGCAGTGTACATTGTGGGTTTTTCGGTTTTCATTTGGAAAGATTCAGATTGGCCTCTTTTGCACAGCTCGTCACACTGCATTTGTTACTTTTCAAAGACTGAAGTTGAACTTGATGAAGACCAACACTGTTTCTCATCACAGGACACTGTGTTACCGATCCTAAGGAGAGCATCAGGTCGGAGCAGGGATTACAGTTTGGACTGTGGATGATCCCCAAACCAGGACCACTCAGGTCGTCAGTGCTTGCCAGGCCGGGAGGAGGAGAGGCTGGGAGGAGGCTGGGAGGTGCTTTTCCAGTGTCCAACCTTGAGAGTGTGTCTGCATATATCAAACTGATTCTTTATTCAGTTCCCAAATATTACTCTCTTGTGAATTTCGTCCTGCTCTTTTAATGATGGTTGTCTATGTTCTTAAGCCAGTATGCAGTCCCTGATACATGGGGATTATTCTGCAGTAATCACGTATCTCTATTCTCTCTCTCAGTGTATTCTCATAGACTGTTTTCTTTAGGTACCTGTTGAGGAATTTTTTTATTCTTTCCGTATGTTTATGGGAATTTAGCCAGAATAAATTTCTATGACAGGGAGAACAACAGTACTCACAGAAATGATCTTTACATTCTGAAGCTATACACTCTGTGAGGAAAGAATATGTAATAAATACATTTATAATAGAGAGGTAAAGCCACAGAGGATGTTTGACCAGCATGAGTGAAACAAAGTGGAGATGTTGTTTTTGTTGTGTGCTCCATATGCATCATAGAGATTAATTCTTTTCTTCAGAGCTCAGGTGAGGTGAATGGCTTGCACTGACATGTCATATCTACAGTTCCCTGCAGTCTGGGATAGAGGCTATGTATTGCTATTGGACGAGTGACTAACTCAAAAGGATAGAGGGGCGTTGACTGGAGAGTTATTTAGAACATGATAGTGTTCCGGGGCAAGCCTTGTGACCGCCCTCATAGTAATTGTGAGTCTGAGGAGGACCCAGAATTGTTCAGCGTTGGAAGGAATGTTCTGTGACATGGGAGGGTGGCCTGAGGTGGTGTTTCTAAAGCCATGGGAACCAAGAGTTTTAGGTTGGGGGCTCATACCTTGGGAGCAGTGTGACCTGTGCAATTCCACCTTCTCGTGGGAATCATTGGGAGGAAAGTAAAGGAATGACGACAGTGTGATGTAGCTGAGAGTCACACACAACATAGAAACTGGAGCTGCTATGAACAAAGCAGAAACACAGGTTCCAGGAGTGCGGTGAGAACACCAGGATGTTGCTCTCAGAAGGATGTGGAAAAGACTTTAACACTGATAGCACAGGATGGATGCAGAACTTTTTTCCTATCGCTTAGCAGGAACGTGGGACACACTGATGAGGCGGAGTTTGCTGCATGTATTAGGATTCTGAGCCTTATGTGATATGATATTAAATATGAACTGACTGGTCTCTGCCGTGGTGGGAAGCACATGCCTCTGAGAACCTCTGCAGGTGACCGTGGCCCGGCCGGGTCAAAAGAAGAACTAAGGAAATGGAGAAGCAGAGTCCTGTGTCTCAGCAGGCTTCTTGCTTAAAGTGCCTGGCAATGACTGGGTCTCTCAGTCCAGGTTTCTGGGAAATCATGGCCTCTGTAGGGCTTGGTTATTCAGAAAGTACCCGCAGAGCTGCACAGGGTCAGTCTAATAAAGAAAGTGTGTAGGATCTATGTTGGGTGAAATGCTTCTGGTTGAAATCGACAACTCTAGTTAAAAGACTATATATACAAATATTATGATTTATAAAACCATTGTGAAATAGTTTAACTGCTTTGTTATCCTGGTTTGGCATTAGAAAATCTGTTAATTGCGGCCTCCCTGGAGGCCTAGGGAGTAAGTCTCTTAGCTCTCACATGATGGCCTGAGTTTGATCCACAGTGAAGTTTCACCGACTTTGGCACAGCAAATCTCTCCTGTCTCACCCGCTGCTCCCCTCAACAGTGTATTTCAGTCAGTCCTCCTGTTCTGGTCAACACACTCTCCACACTCCCCTACAGCACCCCACTCCTGCACCTCTGGCCTACACCCCAGATCTCCTATGCTAAAGTAAAAATACCAAAAAATCTATTCTCCCATAATTTACTACGGGCAAAAAGCATGAATCAGAAAATCAATACCTGTAAATTATGTTTAATATAGGAACTTGTGCCGCAGAGTAGTATTCACTCAGAATGCTTCCTTTTAGAGACATGGTCATTTTTATCTCACTTTAGATGTCCATACTGTGGATCACCTGACTCAGGACAGCCTGCAAATCAGGGCAGACATGTGGCAAGTTCTAACCACCAGCAGCAATACCATCCAACGAGAGAACTGACTATGAAAAAAACAATTTGCACTCAACTCATTGTTTGAACCATAGTATCAAAATGAAAACAATTCAGCGATGATGCTGAGAACTTACTATACATAGGACATGATGATCCTGGAGCTCATGAAGGGCATGCTGAGAGAACGAGGAGGTCTTTAGTAGAATGAGGGAACCATCAAGTATCCTGAGCACCTTAGTCACCAGGTGATTCAGAACTTTCAACAGCCTTTTGAATTTCGTGAACAAGGAAAAGTCGTGAGTGAAGAAACAGTATTTACACCTAGAGGAGCCCTTCTGGAAGGGATTGTCCGTAAATGCAATGAGTGCAGGGACACCCGTGATGAGGCAACTTTCGTTGTCCGAGACAGAACCCAAGGAGGAACAGACTCGCTGCAGTTGTAATGAAAAGGGGAGAGCTGCGGAGATGACTCCAGTGCATTTGAATCCTCGTAGGTATGTTGAACATGAGCAGCAGAAATGTTATGAAAGTGGGGCCAGTCTCAGAAAACATTTCACACCTATCCGTGTGAGTACCCAGTTAGGAAAGAATAATTTGGGATATAAGAGATATGGTGAAGCGGCCTCTAAACCTCTGTTCTGACTGAACATCAGAAAACACAAGCAGACGATCAACCTGATGAGTGTAGGGCACCGCTGAGATTTCCTTACAGAGGGGATACCAGAGAAATCTCACTGCAGTGAAGTTGTTTGGCTCTAACGATTATGTGAAAACTTACTCATGGAAGACTGCCTCACTTTACATCCACAGTCTCAACGGGAGTGAAGCGCTACCCGTGTCAGGTGTGTAAGAAAACTTCAGGCGGAAACCTGCTTTAGTGTCCATCAGAGAACTCATACAAGGGAGAAATCCTATGAATGTCAGGAGTGCAGAAAGTGTTCTCCGGTAAGTCAGTTCTTGTTCTACATGAGAGGACTCACACTGGAGAGAAATGCTATGAATGTGAAGGGTGTGAAGCTTTTTCCAGGAAGGCCTCACCTTAGCATCAGAGAATTCACACTGAGAGAAGCCTCGAATGTCAAGAGTGTAGGAAGACTTCCTCTGGAAATCATCCTCAGTCTCCATCAGAGAATTCACACTGGAGAGAAACC